CAGTAATCCCTTTTTCTGTTTGTCCCATGCTTTCTCACCTTTGCCTGTGTGATCCGCTCACTCCATGCAGCCTTCTGGCTCCCAAAGATTTTTTATAGAATCTGTATTTTTAATGTAGCTTTCTCTTTGCCCCTGCTTTCGAGGAATTAATAGCTAAATGACCATCTTTGAGCACTTGCAATGCTCTCATTCCAGCTATATTTCAGTGTGCTATTCAGCTCGAAGTCCAATGCACCTCATGCTTCTCCTTGATTATGGCGTACCAAAGGAATGAGGATTGTATCATGCTTGATATAGTTTGCATAATTCTTATTTTTCCACTCGCCTTTCTGCTTTTTATCTGCTTTATTTCCTGATTTGGTAGGGATGCTAATAGGGAGTATAACTCAGTTAAATATTAGGCCAAAAGATGAGCCTTAAAATTGGCTGACTTAAGCCTGAAATCACCTTTTTAAAGAAGTATGGTTGTTCTGATGGATGCACAAATTGACTCAAACTTGAATTTTGTAATGCTGCGTCTAAAGTGGCTTTTTTAAAAAATTTGCTCGAATATGTCTAATTGAAATATAAATCTTTGCTTTCTCGGCTGTACTCATCTGTCATTGTCCTCACGTACCGTTGTCCCTCCATAATCTAAGTTTCTATTTGCTACCTGTATCATAACTCATTTCATGTTCTGTTTACCCACGATCCTTGTGTTTGTTGACCTGCCTCCAGTTCGCCAGTGTTTGCTTCAATTTAAAATTGGTATTGTCATAGAGTCATACAGCGTGGAAACAGACTTTTTGGTCCAACCAGTCCATGCTGAATATAATCCCAAACTAAACTCGTCCCATCTACCTGCTCCTGGCCCATGTTCCTCCAAACCTTTCCTTATTCATATTTGTATCCAAATGTCTTTTAAACATTGGAAATGTACCTGCATACACCATTTCCTCAGGAAGTTTATTCCACACAGTGTTCAAATCTTTCGTTAGCCTCACTCCTGCCTAGCTGTCTAACCTTGAGCTCTAAACCATTCTCAGAACTCTGCATTCCAAGAACATACTCTCTTGTGGATACCCCCATTTTCTCTGCTATATCATTGGAAGCTGAAGTTTCAGTCATCTTGCCCCTAGGTTTGGAATTCTGTCCATCAATCTCCTCTTTCCAGCTGTTTCATAAAACATACTAAGTTTTAGTCAAGCTTTACTATTTCTTGTTTAGGCTCTGGTGGCAATTTTTTGGTCTGGTTCATAGATCATAGAATCCCTACAGTGTGGAACAGGCCCGTCGGCCCAACAAGTCTATGCTGACCCTCCGAGCATCCCATCCGGACCCATCCCCCTATAACTCACCTAATCTACACATCCCTGAACACCTACAGGCAATTTAGCATGCTAATCCACCTAGCCTGCACATCTTTGGACTATGGGAGGAAACCGGAGCACCTGGAGGAAACCCACACAGACAGTCACCCGAGGGTGGAATCGAACCCAGTCCCTGGCGTCTTGAGGCAGCAGTGCTAACTACTGAGCCACTGTGCCGCCCTCATGCTCTTGATGTTTATTCATGTTTGCATCACCATATAAATGCAAGAGATGAGGGTTTCAACAATACTTGAATTAAATTGGTATTTATACATGCTATGAAATAGCTTAGAACTGTTTCTAAGTGTATGAGATACCTCCTTACAACCCTGTTCTCTGCTCTTAAAATCATAGAGATACACAGCATGGAAACAGACCCTTTGATCCAACTTGTCCATGCTGACCAGATATCTTAAATAAATCTAGTCCCATTTGCCAGCATTTGGTCCATGTTCCTCAAATCTTTCCTATTCATATACCCATGCAGCTGTCTTTTAAATGTTGTAATTGTACCCGCCTGTACCACTTCCTTGGCAGCTCATTCCGTGTCTAGTTTTGGACGCTCTTACCCTGGGGAAAAGACTATTAATCCTATTCATGCCCCTCATTACTTTACAAACATCTGTAAGGTTGCCTCTCAGCCTCTGATGCTCCAGGGAAAATAGCCCCAGCTTATTCAGCTTCTCCCTATAACTCAAACCCTGTAACCCTGGCAATATCCATGTAAATCTTTTCTGAACCTTCTCAAGTTTAACAAAACCTTCCTATAGTTTGCAGGCCAGAATTGAATGCAGTATTCCAAAGTGCCCGAACCAATGTCCTGTAGAGCTGCAAGATGACCTCCCAACTCCTATGCTCAATCCACTCACTAACAAAGGCAAGCATACTAATTCTGCCTACACTACTCCGTCTACCTGCGACTTCACTTTCGAGGAACGATGAACCTGCACTCTGGTCCTTTTGGCAGCATGCCTCTCCAGGACCTTACCGTTAAGTGTATAAGTCTTGCCTTGATTTTCCCCACCAAAATGTAGCGCCTCACATTTATCTAGCTTAAACTCCATCTGTGACTCCTCGGCCCATCCGCCCATCTGACTAAGGTCCTGTTGTACTCTCTAAGGTAACCTTCGCTGTCTACTACACCAACAATTTTGGTGCCATCTGCAAATATACTAATCATAGATCCTATGTTCACATCCACATCATTTATATAGATGACAAAAAGCAGTGGACCCATCACCGATCCCTGTGGCAGACCGCAGGTCACAGGCTTCCAGTTGAAAAGCATCCCTCCACAACCACCCTCTGTCTCTTACCTTATAGCCAATTTTGTATTCAAATGTCTAGTTCTTCCTGAATTCCATGTGACCTAACATTTTTAACCAGTCTACCATGTGGAAACTTGTTGAGCGCCTTACTGACGCCTATATAGACACCATCCACCGCTCTGCCTTCTCCAATCCCTTTCATTACTTCTTCAAAAAACTCAATCAAGTTGGTCAAGCACGATTTCTTACCACAAAGCTATGTTCACTGTTCCTAATCAATGCTTGCCTTTCCAAATATATGTAAATCCTGTCCCTCAGAATTCCCCCACCCCCCCAAATACCCAGCCTACCACTGCTATCAGGCTCACTGGTCCACAGTTTCCTGGTTTCTTCCTTACCATCTTTCTTAAATAATGGCACCATGTTAGCCAACAGGTTTCCGGCACCTCGCGAGTAGCTATTGAAAATACAAATATCTCAACAAGGGGCCCAGTCATCACTTCCCTAGCTTCCCACAAAGTTGTAGGGTACACCTGGTCCAATTGCAGGGATATATCCATCTTTATATGTTGTAAGATGTACAGCACCATCTCCTCTGAAATAGTTTCAAGATTTCACTGTTTATTTCCTCAAGCTCTCTAGATTCCATATCCTTCCCCACGTAAACGCTGATGCAAAATACTCATTTAGTACCCCACCCATCTCCTGCAGTTCCAGACTTGGGGGGCCTTGCTTTTCTTTAAGGGGTCCTATTCTCTCCCTTGGTAGTCTTTTGTCCTTAATGTATTTGTAGAAACCCTTTTGGATTCTCTTTTAACCAATTTACCAAAGCTATCTTGTTTCCTGTTTTTTGCCCTCCTGATTTCCCTCGTAAGTGTATTCCTACTACTCTTGTACTCTCCCAGGGATTCACTCAATCGCTGATGTCTATACTTACATATGCTTCATTTTTCTTGACCAGAGTCTCGATTTCTGTAGTCAGCCAAGATTCACATTCTGTCCCTGGACTCTTGGTATCTCATTTTTGAAGGCTTCCCTCTTTCCGGCTATCTCTTTACTTGCAAATATCCACCCCAATCAACTTTTGAAAGTTCTTGCTGAGCACTTTTAAAATTGGCCTTTCTTCAATTTAGAATTCTGACTTTTAGATCAGGTCTGTCCTTTTCCATCACTATTTTAAAACTAATCAAATTATGATCACTTGCTCCAAAGTGCTCTCCTACTGACAACCTCAGTAACTTGCGCTGCCTTGCTTTCCAAGAGTAGGTCCAGTTTTGCTCCTTGTCAGTAGGTGAAAAACTTAACAGGGTTGCAAGTTTGTTATATTGCAGAACTTGCGTGCATTATGGTACACTTAAATGCAGTGGGTCTCATAGTTGTTGCACTTTTGCTTGATATTTATTACAAGTCCTGTCGTTTGTTCAGGTGGATATACAAGATACTCAAGCTATATTTGCGCAAGTATAGGGAATGTTCTATGCATGCTGTCCGAGGATGATCTTGACCCATGCCACCAAACAGATTAGCTAGTTTCTCATCCTTTTATTGCTGTTTATTTTGGATACTATTAGCTGGCATGACAATGCATGGACTCTAGAAGTAATTTGGCTGTGATGTGCTTTGGGATATCCTGAGGATATGAAAGATGGGTTATGAATACACTTTAATTGTTCATGGTCTCAAACACTGTTTGGTAAATGAGATTTCTGAAGTTTCACCAGTTTCTCAGAATGGACTGACCTTTTTAAAGATGCTTGAATTAATTTGGTCAGTCAGTGCAGAAAACTGCTTTAGTGTAGCATGCCCAGGGAAAGAAAACCACGAAGGATGCTGCCATTCACAAATTTTGTTTGAAGTATTTTCAGAAAGCTTTTAACTTCTTTGAAAATAATGAGAGAATTTTGACTAGTGCAGTTCAAGATGGAGGCAGAGAGAGGACAACTAGGGCTTTTTCTCCTAATGTGCATCCTGGACTCATCATCCCATGCGTGGATCTCTTGCTGCATTTATCTCTACGCACATACCAATGTCCATATCCTTCGATGTCATTGTATGGTTTTGTTGTTAGGATAAAATGTAGACTAAGTAAACACACAGCTGATCCCAATGAATAGATGTGCATAGATGTTGCTTCTGAAACTGTGGAGTGTTGCAAATGAATATTGAAGTCTTTTAGCATTTGTTTATTTTGTTGTTTAAAAATTGTTGGCTGTCTCTCAACGATTTATCTGTGGTTCTTAACTTGTGTAAAGTTTGGATTATTTGGTAATTATTGTAATAAAAATGATACTGTTATTTGGGAAAAGGTACAAACTGGGAGGTTCCTGCAGTATGTGTATCTTAACATGGTTGTGGACTCTCGATACATGTTCTTGTTTTCCAGATATTCAGGAATTTTATGAGGTTTCATTGCTGGATAATCAACCGGTTCTTGCTCAAAAGACAACTGGCATTGTTCCAGCAGTCCATAATTGGGATATTTCCAACCTTCCAAGCACAACTGTTACGTCGGAGGCAGTCACTGTTAGCCGTAGCCCTAGCACAGAGGTAAGTGTATATTGAAAAGGTAGACTGACTTAATGTATAGGTGTAATAGCTAAAGTAGTACTGTTGCTAATGGCATATCAGATCAGATTCGGTGAACTGCCACATTGTGTGTGTGCTAATAAGCTGACGAGATTGACTGATTATGGTAAAGTTATTCTTTGGATCACCATCTGTAATTTTCAAAACCTGAAGTTATCTTTGGTAATATATCAGTGGTTGTGTGCCTATTTAGCTGACCCATTTTGACTTCTACCAATGTAATTGACGTGTCCAAGAGCCAGATGTTGGGCCCTAGTCAAGACTATTATTGAACTTTCATCAGAAATAAGAGATTCTCTTGTTCATATGTGTTCTCCTATTCCCATCTAGAGCTGTTCCATACATCTTTCATTATGCACATTAATAGATCATCTGAGCATGTACAATCGCTTCCTTTCCACGTTAATGTTTTGTTGTTGTTTTGGATGTCTTCTGGAAAGATGTATTGAAGTATTTGTGTATTTCTTTTTCAGTATTGAAGCTGTTTGTCCCCGATACTGTAAAATATGGTCTGAAGTAAAATTTGTGGGAATGAAAACTTGTACAAGATGAACTAAGCTGGATCTGGTTGCTCAGTCGTCTCAATTTAAATTGAAGTTTAACATTGGAAATACTTTAGCCATAGCCAGAGATCACCTGCAATGATTTCAGTTTCCATTCTGACTCCCTACCTCTGGAGATCCCTAGCCTCAGCTTCCTTCTGTTTCTCATGCTATCCCTTCAACAATGTTATCTGAAAATAATTCTGGTTTCATATGTATGTCAGTTTCACATCCTGAGCCCCTGAAATTCTGATATGCTACAGCATTGCCTGACATTCAATATGGGAGGGCAGACAACATTTTCCTCCAAGTCAGCTAAGGGTAAGTTGTAGCCCTTGTCTCTGGTTCCTTAAGCTGAGCAAGATCATTGACCAGGACAAGGTGAGCTTCCCAATCTCACATGCATATTAATTCCAAAGTTACCTACTTCCACCTCCTGGAAGATTGCTTGACTTCAGCCTTGCAGTAGTGCATCTGATACTGAAATCTTCATCTATGCCTATGTTATTATCAAACCTGATTCGTCTAAAGCTGTTCCGGTCAGCCTCTAATCTTTCACCCTGCCTAATGCTTATCCAAAAGTCTCTTGTCCACAACTCCACCAAATCTCATTCATCAATCTTCCCTGAGCTTGTTAAATGTCTCTGGCTCCCTCATTGATACTTCCTCAACTTTATAATTCTCATTCATATCTTTAAATCCCTACAGAGCCTGGTCTTCCCTTACTTGTACTAACTTTCTCTGCTCTACTAGCATTACATCTCTGTGCTCCTCCAATTCTATCCTTCAGAGCATCTTTAATTTTAGTCACTCCTTCAGATATTTTGTTAAATTAGACATGTATCAATAAAATGCAGGTTGTTGGCAATTTCCAGTTGGTTATGGAATGTGTGCTGCTCATAACCTGACACACATACTAAAATGGCTCCTGTCTTTATAACCAGTTATAATATTTGAGAGATGTAGTAAGTTTGGTTGGATTCAGTTATTGTAATGAAGTTCCTCTTTCTGTGCATGTGATATGCCCAAGGAAATGTGAATTTCTAATATTATGTAGGGGGCTCCTTAAAGCTGCAGAAACCAATTTTTACAAACTAAGTTATTTATTACTGGGATTGCATCTTCATCTAGTCCCTTTTACCTTGCCAATATTATCAACAAAGAGCTGGACGTTAGCCCTTTTTGCCTTCAAGATACTGGTTTGCCTGAGATTTTGTTGTTATGGTGTAAATACAACTGAGTGGTTGAAGAGGTGATTTTAGAGGCCACGTAAGAGGCAACAGCATTGCTGGACCAGACCGTGCAGTACAACTAAAGTTAATTTGCACATTGAACCACCTGGACTATCCTGGCTGTCACTACACTTTATCCCTCACAGGTGGTGAGGGCTTGAGCCACAGACCTCTCGTGGATACCACAAAAATGTGGATACCACAAAAATGTGGATACTATAAAGCCCCATCCAATGCATGCCCAATAAAACAGAAACATGTCCTATAATGTTAGAAAAGCATTAAAATATTTTAATAAACACGTAAATATTTAAGTACGGTACAATACGTTAAAGGAAAATATAAATACAGCACTGTCATACTATATTCAGTGGAGTTTAGAAGAATGTGGGTTGGGGCAGGGAGAAAAATTTCACAAATCTATGTAATTTAACAGGACTAGACAGGGTAAACATAAGAAGGATGTTTGTGGGGTGTCTGGAACTAGGAGTAAAAGCCTAAGGATATAGGGCAGGCTATTTAGGACTAAGCTGAGGAGAAATGTCTTCAGTCAGAGCGGTAAGCCTTTGGAATGCTCTGCCGCAAGTAATAGTTGAGGCCAAAACATTGAATGTTTTCAAGAAGCAGTTAAATATAGTTCTAGGACTAAGGATCAAGGGGCGTGGGGAGAAGCAGGAGCAGAGTACTGAGTTGGATGATCAGCCGTGATCGTGTTGAATCGTATTCAAGCAGGCTCGAGAGCCTGATGGCTTATTCTGCTTTTCTATGTTTTTGTGCTATATAATGTATAGGGTCTGATTATAATATGCATTTAGTACAGTACCTTTAATAGAGTACCCTGTGTAAGAGTTGATGACCTGACAGGCATTTTAGAAAATTAGGAAATCAGTGACAGTGGTATATTGATTTATTTTTTTTTTCCTGCATTCAAATTCCCCAGTAGCTATGGTGGGATATAATGTTATTTCCAGATTATTCATCCACTGTCCAGTAACAATAGTCCATTGCTACTGGATTTGCTCCACTATTGCAAGATCAGCTTAAAAGCTGTAGGATATTTGAGGTTATGTATACTTGCCATGCAGTGACAAATCCTTGTTAACTAGAATGCTTTACCACATGTGAAAGGCATACAGGTTCATATTTCTTTTCTGCTCTTTCCTCATCCTTGCACTGTCATCTTTAATCCCTCGTCCCATCACTATACCTTGGATTTTATTTAGCCACTAATAAATTTGACAGGAGAACAATGAACCTGTATTTTAAAATTTGGAACTGTGCTGTGGCTATACCCTTTTAGATGTTCTATATTAGCTATAGCTGAGGTGAGGCAATGATCGAGAGGCACATCTGTTACCCTAAGTATGGATTCACATTTGGATTTCTTGTAAATCTTGGGTTAAAAATAAGAAGACAGCATTCTAAACTTTTGTGATCATCAAAAGAAAAATAAAATTGCATTTGTAGCTTAAGCTGTTAATTGTCAGTTTTTGTTATGCTCTTAATTTATGTGTGATTAGCATGAGAAAATTGGAAGGTGTACTCCTTTCCCAAGATTTAATTTAGAGAATGCTCATTACTTGATAAAGCTAAACTTTAATTTGCAATGCAATACACTGTTCTAATCTATTTTCAAGTCATACCCTGTGCCGGACCTTTTTAATTTTAAGGGTGAAACATTTTATCTGACAGTGGAATTCCTCTAATATAATTAAGAAACAATGCAAAGTCCAAATGTCAGAACAAGTTTCTAAACTATTTTAAATGTTGATAGATTTCTGTGGCTTAATAGCATGGAACAATGTGTTATATGTTGTAATGATGACTAGTAACAGAAGACTATTTAAGAATGAGGGTGGGGATATGCTGTCTCTGGACAATCTTAACATAGTGGGGCAATTTGATTCCAATTTGATAGCAATGGACAGGGTACTTTGTTTTATATGTTGTCAACACTAAAAGACCTGTTTGTTTTGACAGCTTTGGTGTAACACCAAGTTACATAAACTGTGGCAAATGCCCTAAGTCCATTTCCTGGTGTGTCATGAATTAGTTGATCTCAGCAGGGGCAGAATCCTGCTGGCTTAATTTATTCAAAAGGCTGAGGGTGAATGAGGATGTGTGAGTGTCATGGCTGAGTCGCTGCTGTCCAGTGAACCTTCTTGAATACGTGAACATGAGGACCGGGATTCTATTCAAATTCAATGTCTGCTCAAGAATCCAGTTGACTTTTCTTTAAGCTTTTGCATGGAGTGCCCACTCGGACTAGATGCTAGTGACCCCACAGCTGCACAATAATAGATTCTTGAGGAACGATGCCATGCGTTCTCTTTTAGAGAAAGAAACGAGTGGTGAATGTATGTCTGTATCTTATTTATTGAAATTGCTGCCCATGGAGGGAAAGGTCAGTATGGTATAAGGTTTTTTTTTGTAGTTAGATTTGGAAAGGATGTCAAATAGTATTATGCTCGTGACTTATGTAAGTGACATTTTTGCTGATGGAAATGATTTAATATGAATAAAATCTGGAGGTGTTTCTTTGCAGTGTCAGATTTGCAGGATGGCATGTGTGGGCAGTGAGGTGTTAAGTATAGCTGTTCTGTGACAAGCTCTCTTTTTGGTGAATGCCGTTCGTGTATTATGAGGAAATACAATTGCATATTTTTGCTATTGTTTATTTTTGATTTTATTGGCTTTCCAGCTGTGTGGTTAGCCTGTTGGCTGAATTTCTGGGGATGACATTTGCAATAAAGGCAACTGTTGGATTAAGTACAGGACCATGCTGCTTCCCAGTTGAGAATTTTCACAGTTATTTGAGGGGTGTGTAGAAGGTGGTAATGTCTGTTTTGTATTCATTAATGTTGAATATGTAGTACAATTAGAATGAAAGAATATAACTATATAAATTGTAGTTAATTTGGGTGGAAAAAACTAGTGTCACAGCAATCACACCACATCTTTCTGTTGTGATTTACATTTCTGCAAAATAGGCTTTTGGTAAAAGTTTGCAACAAATAGCTCCTTCCCTCCTCAACCCCCATCTTCACTTGCCATTTTTTACCTGGTTCTTCAGTTTTCTTAATTATTGCAGTAATCTCCCTCACGTCCACCCACAAAATGAACTGCTTTACAACCTCTCTGCTGTGTATCCCATTTACTGATGGTTTTGGAGATTGGGAATTTGCTT